ACTGTCTCGAACCACTGCATTAAAGGGTTCATAGACCTTAGGGGCCTGTCCAGTGTAGACCAACAACGCTTGGATCTGATCTTTGGTCAGTGTCTTGTTGCTTTTTTCATATTTTTTAGTTGCAGTGTTTTCTTTATTCTCCCAGGCCTTTTTGAATAACTCATTCTTCTTCTTCTCTCTGGGGAAGTATTCATTCTTGACCTTTTCAGCCATTGCATCACTGCAGCCGTTGTACATGTCATCAACTGATTTGTCCATCATCATACTCAGGGGAATTCTCACAGACTCCTGGACAATTTAAGAGGAAAGAGAAGAAAGGAACTGTGTGTAAGATTTAGATTTTAAATCCCATAAACACGGCCTAACTATATTTGAATATGTCTATGAGGCAGACGTGTTCAAATCAAAAATGACTTTTACTGGTAACAACTGTAATGCTGATTAATTCTAAATTATAAAAAAACATTACATGATGTCCCATTTATTTGTTGTTTTGGTTCAGTCAGAAAGCAAAATGAGTCTCTCATTTGTGTTGCCAGTTTCAAAGCTGAAATTCAGTTTGTTTTAAACCTAAAATGTGTCTCTCTGATCTGTACGGTCACTACCTAAACCCCAGCACTGCAGCCTCTGCAGCTCAGTGTATGTGTCCATATACTGACAATGAGGAGAACTTGTATGTGTCCTCAATCTGCAGATTAAAGCCCAGGTTCAGTTGTGTTCAGTTCAAACTGTAAGACTGCAGGCATCATATAGTTTCTTTAAATAAAAGTATAGAACGGAGGATTTGGGTTGGTAATTGTTTGGACTCTTAGATAATTTTAGAAAGAAATAAAATATTGTCCTTAAACCAAGACATATTTCACAATAATCTGAATAAAAATCCTTACCGTTGGAAAAGAAGTCATCACCAGACAAAGCATCAAAGCCAGCACTGTGGTCTCCATGTCTGTGAACTAAAGCACAAAGAAGAATGTAAAACAACATATCTGGGTTATAGGGTAAACTTGCTGCCGTTACCTCAGGTCGAGTCGGGTCTCTGTCTGCAGGTCAGTGCAGCTCCGCTCTTAAATACTTGAACTGTTCCTGTTGTCAGCATTTCCTTATTTGTTGAACAGGAACAAAGAATGACATCGTTGTTTTCAGAGCATCAGTGTTTAATCACACCAGCCTTATTTACAATGTCCACATCACAAACATCAGCCTTACATTTTAAGAGCTTATTTATATGGAGCTTAACATTGTAAAATCTTTCTCCACAGACATTTTCAAAAAGAACACAATGAACACAACACAAATAGCAAATGAAAGTACAGACACTTCTGGTGTAACTAACGGGCCTGTCCCACCGGCACGAGGCCTTGGGGGAGACCCAGGACACACCGGAGGAACTCTGGCTGTTTCATAATTCCCAGGATCCTTGGCTTTTGAACCACGTCGGAGAGATCCACGTCACGTCATCATAAGTGATGTTCTAATTCCCCCCAGAGCCCTCATGCCCTTCACTCTAGACTTCTCTGTTTGGCTCATTTACCCAGCATGTATCTGTGGATCCTTGGCTGCTGCAAAGAACTTGAACTTGTCCACAATGCACTGGGCTTGCATTCTCCATAAATCTGACTCTCTTTGGCCTGGACTTCGGCCTTATAATCTTCCACAGTATCTATTTCACTTAACCTTTATAATTCCGTAAGTCTTCTTAAGTCTTCACAACACGATTCAGGTCACATTTGACCCAGACCAAGAATTCCCTCATACTAAGTGTCTCAACCAAATTCTGAGCGACAGATCTGTTTAGAATGTCTAAATAGACTATTCCACGTTAATAAATATATGTAATATATAAAGTGTAATGTTTCAGACAGCTGAAAGAGATTTTTTTTTAAGTTTTAGGAGAAAAATTGAATGATAAATGAATTATGAATGATAAAGTCAAATTAATGTGACAAAAATGAGCAGATAAAAAAGGATTTGGGTTTACCTTTGTGTAATGTGTGGATGGGCTCAAATTGGCATTAGTATATTTAAGTTTTAATAAAATATTGATTATCTATTAACTGAATACTCTTTGGTTGTGCTTACACTTCTGCATATTACTTTGGCAGAGTCAGGGTCACGAACTTTTGCTTTTGCGTTTATCAGTTACAACATTCATTGCTGCAGTTGCAGCACTTTTCTTTGGAATCACTTAAGAAACTGTAAATACTGCAAATGTCACAGCACTTGTAAGATAAAAGCCTACTACAATTTACAAAAAATACATGAAACTTCAAGATTAGTGAGTGTGATTTTGTACTTGTGAAAAAACAACATAACGTTTCTAACACCTTCTACATTAAACAGGAACGAAGAGTGGCATGAGTGTCACCAGGTCATCAGTGTTTAACTCATCCTTTGTGTTCACTTATGAGATGAACCCACACTAAAGTGTTTAGGAGGATAGGTAGTGAATTCTCAAAAACATTCATGAATACTGTAGGTGTGAGCTATGATATCTTGTATGTGATTCTTAGGTATATTCACTGAAATAAAAGTTTGTTTTAGTTGCAGTGTTGTTTAAATATATGAAGTCTGAGCTGAATGTATCCCATCACAGTAATAGACTTAGACAAACTGTACTGATCCACAAGGGGAATTATTTAAATATAATTTAAATACACAGCGTCAGATTGTCCTGTGGTTTAGTTTGCTCAACTTTCGTTCTCGAGCCCAAAGATTGTCTTACAGTCTGTCATTAATTACACACACATTGTTAATATGTTTATTCTTCTTTATTCATAGAAACATTGTACAGCTCAGAACAATTACATTTGCATTAGTCTTATTTCAATTCAATCTTATTTCCCTAATTCCTCATTTCAACAGGTTCAGTACTTCAGGCTAGTTGAAGTTGAAGTTTTGGTTTCGTTGCCTTGCAGTTGAGATTGTGTACCACCACCAAATCTTGTAGGAGTTTGCAGAACTGGACAGTACTGGTCTCCTGTCGATTTGAGCTCCCTGGTGCCACTGCGCATGCACACAACCCCCAAGCGCTGTTAAGAGTTTAAATCCCGTTGATTTGAGCTTCTGAGGCTGAAGTGGAGTAACAAGTCACATTTTTAAAGTGTATTGGTTTCATTGTATGTTTTGACCAGTTAAGCAACGACGTGTGTGTGTGTTAGATTCACAGCAGAAAACCTACGTTAGGTGATTGAATAGTTTGGATTTAATATTTTATTGTTATAATTTTCAATACATCATATTATATTTTGTTTCCATGTGTAGAAAATGTTGTAACTTTGTTTAGAAAGGCACTGCATAAATAAAATATCACTATATTATCATAGAAATTCACACTGTTGACGATGATATTTATTTAATATAAAGATTTCAGTGTTTCCAGTCATTTCTTTCTCTAGTGGGAGTTTTATTCGATGGCTAAATTGTCCTGTCGATATGTTCTACCTTTAGTTGGAGCCCTATTTGAGCAGAACATGACTGTCCAGATGAACTACCTTCACATATTCATAAATTAAATGAGTTGAAATTGACATAACTGAGGTATAAAGTTTGATCACCGTGTTCAAATGACATCAAACCCGCGTCTCTAATCCAAAGAAATATGTTGTAAAACTGGGGTGAGGCTTTATTGGATCTATACAACTGTGCACGGAAAAACGTAAAGTAGCTTATTTCGACGGGGGGTAGCATGAATCGATATACGTCACTGTCAATTTAGGCTGCAGGTAGCTCATTTCGGCAGAAGACTGGCTTACTTTCATTACGCACAGTAATGATAATGCAATTATTTCATGATTCCACTGCACCATCACCATGAAGTATACAATAAAAGTGAAATAATAAATAATTGTTAGGTTGGATGGCAGCTTTAAATGATTTGATGTCATACTTAATTATTCTTTTAATTGTGTATTTTTTCATATTGTCTTATGTGAAGGCTGGTGTGTATGGAAGTATAGATGTGCCAGAAGTTTTGAATTAGAATATTTCATGATGAATGAAACAACTCAAATAAAAAATAAAATGGAAAATGGGAGTAATTGAAAAAAAAAAACAAACAAACAAACAAAACAAAAAAAACATGTGATAGTTGGGTATAATTTTACATTACTTTTACTCAATCCCGGTCAGTGCGGGCCCGTCCCGACACTCAGTACTGGTTCCTTCCTGGTTTAGTCCTAGTTTAGTCCTGTTTTAGTCCTGTTTTAGTCCAGCTTTAGTCCAGGTTCAGTCCTGGGATCAGTCCGTATGCGGTGCAAAAGTCTGGCATCGCAGTTTAAGTCACGGAAACGGGCTCCAAATAGCCTAGTAGAAAACATTAACATTCATTCTTTTTGTTAGACTGAAATGACTATACCCAAAATTTCTAAAAACACTTGATTTCGTAACTGAGGCCTCAGTAAAACTGAAGATGCTATGAAAACATAAACCAGTAAACCGTAAGTAACACAGTCATTTAAAAAAATATATTTACCACTTGGTTGTTCATGGTGTGTGAGAATGTTGAATGTCTTCTGCTTTTTGGCCTCTATGAGCACGGCGCCCCCTGGTGTTGGCAAGTTCCCATAGTAACAGAATGAGCGGTGAACTTTGACCTGAATGTTTTTGATCTGAATTTCTCAACTTGAATTTTCTTTTCGCTGAATTTGGCAACTTGAGTTTTTTTTTTGTTTTTTGTTTTTTTCGCAACTTGAATTTTGTCAGTCTGATTTATAGATGCTGAAAAATGAAAAATCATACCCACCTATCACATGTTAATGCTTTCTTTCCCCAATTAGTTCCATTTCAACTATTTTTTATTCAGGTTATTTTATTCATCATGAAATATTCTCATTCAAAACTACTGACACATCTATACATCCATAGGTGTGGTTCAACACTGATGCTCTGACAACAATGATGTAATGTTTTGTCACTGTTAGAAGGAAATACTTTCCCAATAGATCAATAAAAACAGGAACAGTTTAACTATTTAAGAGCAGAACTGTACTGACCTGCAGACAGAGACCAGACTGGACCTGAGGTAAGGGCATCAAGTTTACTCTATAACTCTGTGTTGTTTTACATTCTTCTTTCTGCTTTAGTTCACAGACATGGAGACCACAGTGCTGGCTTTGACGCTTTGTCAGGTGATTCCGTCTTTTGCAATGATGGTATGAGTTTAATGATTCAAATTCTTAAGATATTTGTGTTGGTTTAAGGATAATATTTTATTTCTTTCTGAAATTACCTAGGAGTCCATACAGTCAATTCCGCTGAGTATGATGGAGAATTCAATTGACGACATGTACGACGGCTGCAAGGAGTCAATGGCTGAAGTCGTCAAGAACGTTTACTTCCCCAGAGAGAACAACATTGACCCATTTAAAAATGCTTGGAAGGTTGCAGGCCCCTTTGCAAAAAAAAAGTATGAAAAACGTCCGGACAAATCATTAACCCTAGAACAAGTCCAAGCAGTCTATGTTTACTCACAAGAATTTCCCAATGTTTATGGTCCGTTTAATGCAATGGTCAAAGAAGGTAAAGCTAAATACGCCACTAAGGACTTCCCATACCACGCTTTACACTTTTGGATCACTTCTGCCCTTCAGGTCATTAATGCTGACAATAACAAGCCATGTCAAACCACCTACAGGAGAACCAACAACAAATATACAGGTGAAGTCAACCAACAAATGCGCTTTGGTTATTTTGCATCCTCTAGTACAGATCCAGATCAGATCACTTTTGGAAGAGAGACCTGCTTTTACACTGAGACCTGTTTTGGTGCAAACATCAAAAGCTACTCAAGATTGGATGAGGATGAAGTGCTGATTCCCCCTTACGAGACGTTCAAAATAATAGAAATAGCTGAGGGCTCTTACAAAGAAATGAAAGATTGTAAAAAAGTCTTTGTCCTAAAGAGTACTGGAAAGTTGAGCAATCTCAACTGCAAGGCAACTGAACCAAAACTAACTTCAACTAGCCTGAAGTACTGAAGTTGTTGAAATCAGGCATTAGGGAAATTAGGCTGAATTGAAATTAGGCAATAAGACTAATGCAAATGTAATTGTTCTGAGCTGTACAATGTTTCTATGAATAAAGAAGAATAAACATGTTAACAGTGTGTGTGTAATTAATGACAGACTGTAAGACAATCTTTGGGCTAGAGAATGAAAGTTGAGCAAACTAAACCACAGGACAATCTGGCACTGTGTATTACTGTCAGGGGATACAGCCATGTCTCCCCCCTTGAACTGCCACCTTATCGTGGTGGGGGAGTTTGCGTATGATCCTAGGAGCTATGTTGCCCGGGGCATTATGCCCCTGGTAGGGTCTCCCATGGCACACAGGTCCTAGGTGACAGGTCAGACTAAGTGCAGTTCACAAATCCCTATGAACAGTACAATAAAAAGGACCGTGAGCTCCCCCAGTATGGCGCAACCAGGGCCCCACCCTGGAGCCAGGCCTGGGGTTGGGGCTCCAAAGCGAGCGCCTGGTGGCCAGGCTCACCTCCACACAGAGCTTGGGCTCTGGTACCCATCTTCTTGAGACTGGTTGGACCCTCCATTTTTCTGGTGTTGCCTGCGGGGAGCGGCGGTGGGCTGGTGTGGGCCTGCTCATTGCCCCACAGCTCAGCCACCACGTGTTGGAGTTTACCCCAGTGAACGAGAGGGTCACGTCCCTGTGCCTTTGGGTCAGGGACAGGTCTCTCACTGTGGTTTCGGCCTACGGGCCAAACAGCAGTGCAGAGTACCCGGTCTTCTTGGAGTCCCTGGGAGGGGTACTGGACAGTGCACCGACTGGGGACTCCGTAGTTCTACTGGGGGACTTCAACGCCCATGTGGGCAATGACAGTGACACTTGGAGAGGTTTGATCGGGAGGAACGACCTCCCTGATCTGAACCCAGTGGTGTTCTGTTATTGGACTTCTGTCCTAGTCACAGTTTGTCCATAACAAACACCATGCTCAAGCACAAGGGTGTCCATCAGTGCACGTGGCACCAGGATACTCTAGGCCGGACGCCGATGATCGACTTTGTAGTCGTGTCATCTGTCAAGGCTACTAAAAGGCTACGAAAAATTTGGATGTGGATAAAAAATGTCCCAACAACTTTGTCGTAGAGCCACAAAATTTGATTCACACATTTGTCATGTGAAGACAAACAAAACATCTTATGCCCTCTGACAAACCAGAAGATGGATTAAAATGTTCTACATGCTGAGTCAGTATTTTTTGCTGATGTTGCATATTTGGAAATGTCAGATGTGCAATGGTACTACAGCTAGAAAGCCATTTTTGCATGAGATGACTAGAAGGTGCAGAAAAAGCTTCACGCTGCTTATAATAATTGGCCATTACTAGATGTTCATCTTGGAAAGGGGGTATTACATTAATTATTAACACATAGCATATTTAGATCTCCATGTTCCTTTTTATTGTTTTGAAATGCTATTAACCGAAAACAGCATAAAAACATGTGTAAATAGATTCAGTTTTGCTAACAGTTTCCCTTCCGAGCGTTGTCTTTTGTATTCTGCTTTTGTATATTTATGGAAAATAAGCGTGCAGGAGCACGGGTGGAGTCGGCTTGTGGGCTGAGCTTACAATGAGGAGGGTTCAAATAGTCCAGGAGAGAATGCAAGATTACTCAAGCATGCATGGATGACACATGAAACCTGTTCAGGTGTGGTTTTAAATATTATAACACGGTAGAAAGTTCTAAAAAGTTTATTTTGTAATAATTGAGCGTAATCATTAGGTTGAGTTCAAATTGAACTGTGTAGTTGGATTTTAACACACATGCATTTTTGAGCAGTTCTTTTGGGGTGCACTCATACTAGGACTTTAGGAACGTGCCGTCCAAGCATGATTGCCCGGGGTTCTATGACCGCACTCACACGTGCACAACCGAACCAGGCCAGAGCCCGACGCTGTCACACAGCGCTGTTTGTTTACATGTTGTTTACACACACACACAGACAGACAAACACACACATACACACACACACACACACACACAAACACACACACAGACACACACACACACACACACACACACACACAGAGAGACAGACACACATATACACACACACAGACAGACAGACACTCACACACACACAGACAGACACTCACACACACACAGACACGCGCACACACACACACACGCACGCTCACACACACGCACACACAGACACACACACACGCACACACACACACACACACACACACACACACACACGTACACACAGACACACACGCACACAAACACACACACACACGCACACACACACACGCACACACAGACACACACACACACACGGCTTGTATTATAAACTACAGGAGAAGTTTCAAATTGATATCTCTAAATTTAAGATTTTGTCCTATTCAACTACAGTGTCTCGCCTTAAATTTAGAAGTATCATTTGGAAACTTCTTCTGCTGTTTACTCAAATAAATGCAAGCACAATGTATTACACGTTTTCCATCAGTTCATGCTTTCATAGAGAACAGCTAAAGTAAACATATTTTAAAACATAACAAAGCTGTTTTCATTTGCATATTATGGAATTCTGGAATGGTCTCTATGGCGATCGATCAAAGGTGTAGAATACTTTGTTATGTAACCTCGATGACACGTAAAGTACGTTGTCTCTATAAGCCTATGTATGCTCCACTTCTTCAGTTCATTTCCAGGTAGACGAAGCAGAGGACAGACGTACTTTTTGTCAGGGAGACACAACTCAACAAACAAGGCTTAAAATCTGCTAGTTTTCTTCTACAGTCACATACGCAAGGTACTACTACACCAGGATTTTCATGTGTTTTGACAAAAAAAAATTTCGTTTGCAGTTGTTTGCGAAAGATGTTTGTTTTTTCATGTGAATCCTGGTTTGTGAAGTGGTTGCAAGTTACTAGATAAGTTTCAAACATCAGCTGACGCCAGTACACTTCAAAACCAGACTTTCACCTGCCTGTGGGTGCACTTGTGTGAGGGGGAAAAACTAATTTACTGCGCTGTCATTGCTTGTGCAGGTAGCCAACCCCAAAATCTGGAAATGGGTTCGACCTGTTCATTACAAGGGAACTGTTGTACCAACTGTTGTTCGAACAACAGTTCGTACAACAGTTGGAACAACAGTTCGTGGTTTGCAACGGACGAAGAGGATCTGGAGACGGCTCCATGGGTTTCAGAGGACGAGACGAATTTGAGACCTTCAAATTTGGACCCCAATAGTCAAATGGCAATTACCAGGATTAAGAAGTCAATACCACTACAGTATGAATACATAAAATGTATAGGCTACGGAGCCTTCGGTCAAGTGGTGGAGTGTCAAAACAGAGACACTCAGGAAGCTGTGGTGGTTAAACTTCCCTTCAAAGTGCGAGACACTAGGTCGGAGGTAAGCCCGAGTTTGAATATTATTTAAAGTGTACATGACAGGATATATTATATTTCATGATTACTGTATTTTTATGGACTATAAGACGCTCCGAAGTATAAGTTGCACCAGCCAAAAAATGTGTAATGAAGATTAAAAAAACATAAAAGTCACACTTTTTGGGGGACATTAGTTTTATAGAATCAGAGACAAGGAACCAACATTTCACCTTGAAAGTCAAGTTCTAGTAAAAATAATAGAACAGAGAACAGTTCTTCAGATAACTCTCGCATAAACAACAGAAAAAGTTGACCAAACTCTCCATCTCACTCCAAATCACTAAATCCGTTCAATTCTTCATCCTCTGTGTCACTTCTGAGCAACTCCGTGACCTATATAGAATTGTTCCGGCCTGCCTGAATCCTGACAGGATGGTTTCGGTTCTCACTGAAGTCACTTAAACTGGTACAGAAGTAATGGTGCGATGGACTGACCAGATCCCACACAGGACAGCGGCTCTTTCTGCAGGAGACATGTGCAGTAGAGCCAAGAGACAGTGGTACCGGAGTAATAGTAGCAGCAGACAAGCCTAGAGCGCCCTCTCGAGGCTGTCAGTGTGAAAATTTTAACATATAAGTCACACCGGAGCATAAGTCGCAGGAAACACCCAAACCATGAAAAAAAAGTGCAACTTATAGTCCAAAAAATACAGTACTTGTTTTGGTGGGATAGTACATGTTATAAATATTTATTATAGTTTTGTGTGGTAGGAAGAAAAGTACAGAAATACTTAAAGGTTTTCTTACCATTATGCTTGATGGGGAACAGTTCTACAGTTTCCTGTGTGTTTGTCATACGTGTTCATGTCCAACTAGGAAATAAAACAATAAACCTGACCAAAATGAAAACAGAAATACTAAAAAAATGAATAATTGAAGAAAACTAGTAAAGAATGTTAGTATAAATGTAAAATTGTAACATGTAACTACTATTCTGTGCAGGTCCATATAATGCGCCGCCTGATGGAGCAGGGGGCGGACCAGAGGAACATAGTGAAGTTCTTCGGGTCTTTTAAAACTAATTTCGGCAAAGGCATGATCCTTGAAAAGCTGGACATGACTTTAGATGACTTTTGGTGGATTCATCGCCCTTTGCCCCTCTCGGATATTCGCACCATTATCCAACAGGTAAAACAGTGCAAAGTGTTTTTGTCTAAGTACACACAAAATGTTCAAATGACTTTACAGGTTTTATACCGATTTAAGTTATACATGTTGTGATGTAATATACTACCAGTCAAAAGTTTGTACACAGACTTTTCTCATTCGGGACTCCCTTGGCGTTTCCCTTGGCGTTTCCCTTGGCGTTTCCCTTGACGTTTCCCTTGGTGAGACTAGTGTTCCATGTCCCAAAACCCTACACTTAACCAAATGAACCGTTCTAACCCTAATTCTAACCCTAACCTTAACTTACTTTAGCTAAAAAACAAAAACATGAGAAAAAAATGTATATGGGATTAAGTCATAAAGAAAAAAAGTATATAAGTAAATAGGATAAGACTAGGGATGTAACAATAACCGAAACATCGTGATGTTGTGATGTCGTATCGTCAAAGTTCTCTCAATAATATCGTGGACCATCACAATATATCGAATTACAAGTCTATTTGCGTATATTAAGAGTTTTGGTGCAGCCATAGCTAAAAAAAAAAAAAAGACAGCGGGAACTGCATAGACCATGATCCTTTGCTCCATTTCAGTGTAGACTACAAGAAGAAATAACAGTTCTAAACACTTTTAAGTCTTAGTTCTTTGGATTAAGTCTTTAAGTTTTAGCTGTTTAGCCTCCACAAATATCGCAGTAAATATCGTACCGTGAGATGTACATCGTGAAAATATCGTACCGAGAGATTTGGATATTGTTACATCCGTAATCGAGAGCTTTCCCACGATATCGCAATAAATATCGTACCGTGAGGTTCATACCGTGACGATATCGTATGGTGAGACTTGGATATTGTTACACCCCTATATAAGACTGCAAATATATAAGACTATATTTGTATTATATTTTAGATTTAGATGCCTCAAAGTATAGTAAACTTTTGACTGGTGGTGTTTAGCAATATAAAGTCGTGGTAAAATGTCATAAAAAGATCATAGTGGTGGCTCAGAAGTCACGCCCAAATCCGTACTGGTTCTACAAGTATTTCCCATTCATTTCACCTTGAGGTTATTATTATTTTTTAAATTATTATACTTGTTGATTTGTCTATTGTATGTTTAATTTCGCTGTTCAGCACTCTGGTAAGCTTTGGCTGTTTTAAATGTGCTATGCAAATAAATTTGATTTGAAATGATTTTCCTATAGAATAAAAAAAAAAAAAAAAAAAAAAAAACAGATTTAAAATAACAATATACTAGTATGGTCTTGGTCTTGTCATCATTAGTTAGCTGATTAGCTCAGATTACTTTTACCCTTTTACCAGATTAAAGTCTACAGGAAAAATGAATGGGAAATTAAAGATAATGATAAATAAATCACAAACTTTTAATCTAATTGTTTCTGTTGTAACATTGTGCAGGTGGCTACAGCTTTGGAGGCGCTGAAGGAGATGTCCTTAATCCACGGGGATCTTCACATGGAAAATATAATGATCTGTGATCATACCCAGAGGCCTTTGACTCTCAAAGTCATTGACTTTGGCTGGGCCATGTCCACAGCCGAGGTCACAGCAGACTCGCACGTCCCCTGCATCAGGTAAGATATGGGATTCCTGTTTATGTGATGAAGGGGAGACACTGCAGGCACACACATATGCACATGGTTTATTATTTCATTTAAGTTGCTTTCATAGATTTATATAGGACTTTGTAACATCAGTTTTACCTAAATGTACGGCTGTATGTTGCACATACACCAAACTTTCTAATATAGTATTTTTGTATATATATATATATATATATTTTTTTTTGTATCTAATCTGACAACAAAATAGAAAAAAAAAAATCTGGCTATCTCTGCCCATTTACAGATTGACATGTCCCAAATATGTGCAACGTTGGCTTTTTACACATAAAATGCCTTATTTATAAATGTTTTTTTTTGTACTACAGAAAAGGTTTCCAAATGACATCTCCAAATTTCAGATTATTTTCCTGATCGCCTGCAGTGTCTTGCCTTAATAACATCGATCTTGTACATTTTAAGTTCATGTCATGTCTTTGTTCTTCCCTCAGGGCTCCAGAAGTGATTCTGGGGATGCACTGCAATGAAGCTGTGGATGTGTGGAGCCTGGGAAAACTGTTTGCCCTAATGTTGATACAGCAGAATATATTCCCTGCCAGAAATAAATATCAAATAGTAAGTCACCATCCATCAGTCGATATAGAGGTGGGAGGTACTAACAGAAATTAATAACTTGATTTTTGCATTATCTTCATAACAATATTCAGACAATATTTTAAAGAGGGGATATTCCACTAATATGAGGTATTAACTGCTAACAGGTAACATGTTTAGATCACCATGTTCCCCTTTACTGTTTTGGATATGCTCAGGTTTGTGAAGTTGTAGTGTTTTGTAGCCTGATTCATCAGCCGGTTTCACTTCGTGGAAACCGTCTGGCCTCATAGCGTTAGAATTTGTTTGCTCGTTGGTAGGCGGGTACTTTTTTATTCAACCAATCGCTGCTATTTGGTCGTGACGTATGTAATGCTCCGATAACGGGGCTAACTGGTAGATTAAGTTTTTCCCAGATCCCGTAGGAAGAAGGGCAATAACATCTTTCCCCTTGATAAAATTCACCAAACATTCTCTTTGCTCCGGCTTTAAATCCTCGATCTCGGGAATCGTTGCCAACACAGGATGTATGGCTCTTCTCTGATTGGCTGGTGCCCGAACTCACATAGTGCCTGGAAGAGAGATCACTAAACTACTCAAACATGCATGGATGACATTTAAAACCTCTTTGGGCATGTTTTTGATGAGGGAATGTTATAACATGGTAAAAAGCTCCAAAAAGTCGATTTTTCATGATACCCCCTCTTTAACAATGCATTTTGCTTATCAAATTTTTTTATATACACGTCCCACCTCTATGTAAACAGTAAATCATTTTAATAAGCCTTATCTAACATGTGTTTCTCTTATAAAGATGAAGGTTATAGTGCACCTCTTCGGCACACCATCTGCCTCCTTCCTCGACACAGGAACTGAGACATGTGTGTACTTTAAACGCATTGGTCAAAATTGGATATTTGAAGTGAGTATTATCTTGTTGGATTAAAAAATATAATTACATCATCTTATATGCCAAATACACTACCAGTCCCAAGATTGGCCCATTTAAAAAAATATATAGAAGAAACATAAATGAAAAAATGTGTCCAAACTTTTGACAGGTATTGTATATTATTAAAATGTGTGATTTTAACTTTCAAAATCTTTTTAGGCACGCCGGTCTGCCTCGCTTTCATCGGAATGTACTGACAAGTACAATTCACTTCGTCATGTGATAGAGGTAAGCGATAGAGCAAAATTGAAACACGGATGTTAAACGTGAAAATGCGAATACTAATCTATCGATGACTTGTTTCTAGGGCGAGTTCAACTTGTCGAGCCTGGAGGACGACAGAGACATGGAAGCAGCCACATTGTTGCTCGGCAGGATGCTGGAAGCTGACCATGACAAAAGAATTACACCGTCTGAAATCCTCCAGCATCCATTTATCCGTGATGAACTGTAAGCCTGTAAAGTCAGCTTTTACTTTATAATAACTACTAGGGATGTAACGATATCCAAACCTCTCCATATGATATTCTCACAATATGCTTCTCACGATAACTGAAATATCGTGATATCGTATCATCAAAGTTCTCACAATAATATCGTGGACCATCAAAAATATATCAAATTACAAGTCTCTTTGCTCAAATTTAGAGTTATGGTGCAGAAAAAGCTAAAAAGAGACAGAGGGAACTACATAGACCATGATCCTTTGCTCCATTTCAGTTTAGACAAGAAGAAGAAATAAGTTAACATTTCTAAGCACTTTTAAGTTTTAGTTCTTTGGATTAAGTGTTGTCAAGGCAATTTAAGAGGAAAAAGGAGAATATTTACAGTTTTGTTAGCTCCACAAAATATCACAATAAATATCGTATCGTGAGATGTACACTGTGAAAATATTGTACCAAGAAATTTGGATATTTTTACATCCTTAATTGTGAGCTTTCCCACGGTATCGCAATAAATATCGTACCGTGAGGTTCATGCCGTGACGATATCGTATCGTGAGATTTGGGTATCGTTACACCCCTACTGTACGATATTTATTGCGATATTTTCCTCTCATTTAAGAGTGCATCATAACAGTTATTTCAGCATGTTGATTGGACTGAAACAGAGCAAAGGATCATGGTCTATGTAGTTCTTTAGCTGCTGCTGCTGAACCAAAACAATGAATTCAAGCATAGACACTTGAGATTCGATATATTGCGACGACTCACAATATTATTGTGAGACTTTTGATGATACGATATCACGATATTTCAGTTACTGTTACATCCCTAATAACTGCACCTTAATTAGTCTTAATATAGAATGAACAAAGAGCATAATATGACAGATTAGACTTTTTTTTTGAAGATTTTACTCAAATTCTTGCCATTTTTTTTTTCTATTTACTGTATATATTTTGTAATTTTACTTCCTGGTCAGACACAGGAAGCTAATATGACACAAACTATAACATAAACAAAGGCTAAAACTGAGTAAATTACATAATAATTACGATGGCAACACTTTCATTTAGCAAGATGAAGGTTTTCTCGACTTGACTTTACACAATATTAGTCGGTACATTTGATAACATGAGCTGTTTTTTTGTCATTACAGTGAGAATCCTTCAGTGAGACAACTTTACATCCCCACAGAGGACCAGGAGGATGAACGGTAAGAAAAATCTGCGTAGAATGATAACAAAAAAAAAAGACTAAAACATTTTAGGTTTATGTAACTGTCTTTTTTCTTTCACAGTGACATATTCAACAAGCCACTGACCCGTGAGGAGATCAGTGCAGTTCTCCCGGAAGGCTTCAAAGTCATCAAAATGCTGGGGAGTGGCAGGTTTGGTCAGGTGTTCAATTGCAGACGAGTGGACACCGGGAAGAGTGTGACAATCAAGCTGCCATATTCACACAACAAGACTCAGCGTGAGGTAAGTGTGACACCAAACTTTAGACTTTACATTTAAATAGTTGGGAATAATAGTGTCAATGGTCACAGTTATCCTGCCACTAAAAACAGCCTTACCCACACCACAAAGCACCTGAAGCAAATGTATTATAACACCAGACTGAAATGTCGCGTATTGAGGGACAATTTTCTCATATATCAGTCTGCCCGCAAATTGGGAACGTTCGCTTTTTTAAGCTCTATCAAACACGGAGAAGCGGAAAGCAATTGTCTAAAATGTGTGTGAGATTAGATGACATCCACAAGTTTAGGCTGCTTAAAATGTTTTTATTAATGCCAAATAAAATATTCAGCGCGTTTTTAGATTAGAAAATGGATTTAAACAACAAAATTTCAGGAACTTGCGATTTATTTAGGCCATGGTCACGTTTATGTGTCTGATTTTCAACAAGAAAGAAAAAAGAAGAAATGTTGACTATAATACTGGACACAAAATGAGCTCACGTGTTGTTGTATCTATAGACTCTTACATGTTAACACTCCACTAACCTGTTTTTTGTTTTGTTTTTCTCCAAAATCAGATCCAACTGCTGGAAACAATTGCAGAACAGAAGGCGGATCATAAAAATATAGTGACATTTATTGAAACGTTGCCAACCGGCCGTGGGGAGGCTCTAGTTTTGGAGGAGCTAAGTATGAACTTAGCTTCGTACATTAAACAACGCTCCCCACTGCCCATGAGTGACATCCGGGCCGTTATCCAGCAGGTAAGAACCGGTTAAACAAATGCAGAATCTGAGAGAGAATTTATTTGTGTTTTAATTGAACGTTACAACTTTTGCAGACGGCCACGGCTCTACAGACCCTGGAGTCCAAGGGGATAATCCATACGGGTGTTACAATGGAAAACATCTGGCTGTGTCACCGTAGCAACGAGCCAATTAAGATCAAATTGGCCGATTTTGGAGCTTTTATCGAGCAAAAGAGGACGATACCGGGCATGACGGCGCAACGTGTCCACTACAGGTAAGGTGTACTGTTACATGTGTACAGCAGAGGTGGGTAGACTATCCACAAATGGTACTTAAGTAAGAGCAACATGACAACTATTTCCTTCATTATTTGTCTCCAAAACCAAAATGAAAAAACGGTTAACAATTCATTTTTTTCAGTTTTCGATTTTGTGTTTAGATGAATAATGGAAAAAATAGGTAACTGTGACTTAAACTGCGATGCCAGATTTTGCGCTTCATACGGACTGAACCAGGACTAAAACAGGACTAAAACCGGTTTCAGTCCTGGTCTGGTCCTGGTCTCAGTCCTGGTTCTGCTCTCAGTCCGGGTCTGGTCCTGGTCTCAGTCCTAAACCAGGACTGAACCAGGACTAAACCAGGACTAAACCAGGACTGAACCAGGACTGAACCATTACTGAACCAGGAGTGTCGGGACGGGCTCGGAGTTGCGCCCGCGTACACTGTAGGGTGATTAGGACCGGGACCAGACCGGGACTCAGAAAAGGATCAGACCAGGATTGAGACCTGTTTTAGTCCTGGTCCAGTGCGGCGCAAAAGTCAAATTTATGAATTATGACTTAATGTAATTGGACAGACAATACACAGAATATGACATTTCCAAAGAAAATCATGAAAAAAATGAAAATACAAAACAAATCATATCTGAAGGTCAGTTGTAAGTAGCGCAGATTATTATTTACGCTTTTTTACAACATAAAGTTTTCCAGTTGTGTTTCAGTTGTTCACAGTGGGAAGAGTATCCATAAACTTTACCCAAATAACTTCAAACTAAATATTACTCAAGTAAAATGAGTGCTACCCACCTCTGCACAATTGGAGATAAATTATGCTTTTATTAAGTGTGAACATGCTTTTATGTGTGTTTATATTTTGCATTTGTTCCACAGAGCTCCAGAAATCATCCTTGGACTCCCGTTCGATGAGGCCATAGACATCTGGTCTCTGGGCACCATGTCGGTCACTTTGCTCACTGGGTGTGATTTGTTTCCCGACCGAACAGAATTTGAGACTGTAAGTACACTGTTGTTCTGAAGAAAACGTTCACACAGTCTTAAAAATCCAAACATTTAACCATGTTTTTTATCTTTTGTTTCTTTAGCTGACGACTATAGTCAAAATATTCGGTCAACCTCCTGACTACATCCTCAGTGAAGCGATCAACACCCATGAGTATTTCAATGCTGATGGGGCCAGCTGGAAGATAAAGGTAAACAGGTTTTTATTTCACCAATTAATTTAAAGTCATCATGGTAATTCACCCAGATTTTCTTTTGGATTAGACCGCACAGGAGTTTGAAGAGTCTTCTCAGCTGCCTCAGAATACGATCAAGACCCACGAAACAGACGCCTTTGACTCTTTGGATGAAGTAATTCAGGTATAATTTAACTTTAGGTCAACATTTCTTCTGTTAAATTTGTGTTCACAGTTCTTATTTTGGAATTATCTGCTCTTTTTCAGTCCAGTGTTGCACACAGTTATGACAGCGCTGAGCTAGCTGCGTGCATTGACCTGGTGAAGGCGATGCTCACTCTGGACGGGACTCAGAGGATCACTCCTGCTCAGATCCTGGAGCATGACTTTATCAGGTGAGTAGGAAATCCCACAACAAAACTATGCCAGAATACAGTGTGCAGCAAAAGTCAAATATTAAAATAATTATGTTTGTTTTGTTGTTTGCAGTATGAGCAGAGAGGTGGAAGCGCCAGTGTCTGAGGAGCAGGTCGACGCCGTCCAGAAGCCCCTGAAGTCACCCGTTTTCATCACGGTCAAACCAGCCTCACCTGAAAACACCACAGCCTTTGTAGAAGATCCTCCAGTGAGCAAGAGGTGAGTACGCTTCTGTAGTTTTAGGGGAGATTGTTACAGTGCGTGATAGGTTTTCATGATTTCAAATTACGACTTAGTTTGGTGGGATGGTACCTGAGACAAATACTGTATGTGTTATAGTTTTACACCAGTTAAGGGTCTTAAAATGAGCGAGTCAACCAGAAGTCTAACACGGTTGTTGGCGGAGGCGGCGGAGGCGTTGGTGGCGGAGGCGGCAGTGGCAGCGGCAGCAGCAGCAGTGTGTACTGTGCCCTCTGAACCAGTCTTAAGGGAAAAACCTAAAACAATAGTGCAGTTTCTGGAGCAGGACAAGCTCCAGAGTGGCAGGTGAGCACCACTTGGGTTGGTTTTTGGAGATTTATTTTGTGTTATAACGTTGTTCCCTCATCAAAAACATGCCTGAAGTTTTATATATCTGCCATGCATGTTTGAGTAATCTAGCGATCTCGGGCTCCACCTTAAGTTTCCAAAGCCACACTGGAAAAAAACTAAATCTAGTCAAGTTACGATGACTTGAATTAAGAAAGTTTTATCATGATTTGAGTAAATTTCACTGGACATGTAAAATTACTGCCAGTGGAACAGGACTTTTTGTACTTAAAATATGAAAATACATCTTGCTACACTTAAAAACAACAACTTTTTGGACTTAAAATAAGAAACAAAATTGAATGTTGCTTGAGTTAAGAAAAAACACACTTATTCCATTGGTGGATAATTTTTCTTGTCAAGTTGAATCGAATTTAAGTCAATTTAACTTACCTAGATATAGTTTTTTTTTTTTTCCAGTGCAGTTATGATAATGTTAAAACTTGTTACATAAATTAAATCTAACACAATATATTTTGTCCACAGGATGCAAAGTAAGATGGAGGCAAGACTGGACACTGAGGAGAAGACCAAAAGGTATGAACCAATGACTTGAATAATTATAATTACAGTTGATTTGCTTGAGCTTGACACCTAAACATGTCCGTTCTTACAGCCCACAAAAGCAGAAGAAACTGTGCTGGACAGAAGAGTCTCCGATGCCCAAAACAAAGAGAAGACTACGCTGGAAGTGGAAAGTGGCTCCGATGCCCCAGGAGCAGCTCTCGGCAGGTAAGACTCACTTCACTTTAACACTGGTTTACACGAACAACAAACATCTGATCTCTGGTGTTATCAGATTATAGAAATGTCTAAATCTGATGTGAGAAATCTGATTTATTTGCCCAAAGCTGCACAAGTGTGAACAGTCGAACAGGAAGAGAAAACGAATGTGGCAAAGACAAAATTATAAGAATGAAAGAGTTCTTTTAAAATTCATTGCACTTTGTCGTCCAAATACAACAGTCTAAAAATCTTAAACTGTCCATAGGCTACGACACATGTGCCCAGGACCAGGACTAAACCAGGACTAAAACAGGACTAAAACAGGACTAAAACAGGACTAAAACAGGACTAAACCAGGACTAAAACAGGACTAAACCAGGACTAAACAGGACTAAAACAGGACTAAACAGGACTAAAACAGGACTAAACCAGGACTAAACAGGACTAAAACAGGACTAAAAAAGGACTAAACAGGACTAAACCAGGACTAAAAACAGGACTAAACAGGACTAAAACAGGACTAAACCACGACTAAAACAGGTCTAAAACAGGACTAAAAAAGAAAACAGGACTAAACCAGGACTAAAAAAGGACAAAACAGGACTAAACCAACTAAACACTAAACCAGGTCTAAACTAAAACAGAACTAAACTAAAACAGGACTAAAACTAACAGGACTAAACAGGACTAAAACAGGACTAAACAGGACTAAACCAGGACTAAACCAGGACTAAAACAGGACTAAAACAGGACTAAACAGGACTAAACAAACTAAAACAGGACTAAAACAGGACTAAACCAGGACTAAACCAGGACTAAAACAGGACTAAAACAGGACTAAAACAGGACTAAAACAGGACTAAACCAGGACTAAAAAAGGACTAAAACAGGACTAAAACAGGACTAAACCACGACTAAAACAGGTCTAAAACAGGACTAAAAAAGAACTGAAACAGGACTAAACCAGGACTAAAAAAGGACAAAAACAGGACTAAACCAGATCTAAACCAGGTCTAAACCAGGTCTAAACCAAGTCTAAACCAGAACTGAATCAGAACTGAACCAGGACTAAACCGGGTCTTATACAGGACTACAACAGGACTAAAACAGGACTAAACAAGGAGGTCTAAACCAGGACTAAACCAGGACTAAAACAGGACTAAAACAGGACTAAACCAGGACTAAAACAGAACTAAAACAGGACTAAAACAGAACTAAACCAGGACTAAACCAGGACTAAAACAGAACTAAAACAGGACTTAAACAGAACTAAAACAGGACTAAACCAGGACTAAAAAAGGACTAAAACAGGACTAAACCAGGTCTAAACCAAGTCTAATCCAGAACTGAATCAGAACTGAACCAGGACTAAACCGGGTCTAATACAGGACTACAACAGGACTAAAACAGAACTAAACAAGGAGGTCTAAACCAGGACTAAACCAGGACTAAAACAGAACTAAACCAGGACTAAACCAGGACTAAAACAGAACTAAAAGGACTAAACCAGGACTAAACCAGGACTAAAACAGAACTAAAACAGGACTAAACCAGGACTAAAACAGGACAAAATCAGAACTAAAACAGAACTAAAACAGGACTAAAACAGGACTAAACCAGGAGTAAACCAAGGCTAAACCAGGACTAAAACAGAACTAAAACAGTACTAAACCAGGACTAAAACAGAACTAAACCAGGACTAAAACAGAACAAAAACAGGACTAAACCAGGACTAAAACAGGACAAACCAGGACTAAAAGAGGACTAAAACAGGACTAAAACATTACTAAAACAGGTCTACAGCCCTGCTTATAATACATGACTTTTACATAATCTGTAACTCCAGAATCATTCAGATCACAATTATATTTTTGGTTTGACAGCAAGTTGGGTTTGCTCATATATGTTTTTTATATATTTTTAGGTTCTTCTGGCCCACCGAAGCAAAAGAAGAAGAACTGCTTCCAAAAGATCCTGTCCTGGTTCAGATGTGCCAGCTGTTTCTGCTCTAACACGGTGGAATAACTTAAGTGACGGGGCGCGAAGGGGCACTGGGGGTGCTGGGGGGCGCTGTGTAATGGGCAGATTAGGGTTAGGGTTTTGAAGTGATCACTTGGTCACTTTGTTGGATCAGACTGGGGGCTAAAAGAAAATTAAAATAGCGGGAGTGCTGTTTATTTAGGCTTGTGTTACGAGACATGGGCGTAAATAAAGGCAGAATTCAGGGCAGGGGGGATTTGCACCGATAACGCGATCCAGTCTGTAGGTGGTCACTTTGTTGAATCTCCTTAGGGGTTAAAACAAGAAAAAAATAGTGAGGGTGGAATTTATTTAGGCTTGTGTTTGGAGACATGGGCGTAAATAATGTGTTAACCCCCTGATGGGTGAAAGAAAAAGAGGGAGGAATGGAAAAAACAGCAGCAAAAAGAGACGACCCCAAGCAACCACGGCCCCCGCTCACGTCAAACAAGAACCACCATGGCGGCATGGTGGCTGAGTGGCTAGCATTCGTGCCTCACAGCAAGAAGGTTCTGGGTTCGATCCCCGGGTATCTGTGTGGAGTTCATGTTTCTCTCCGTGTCTGGATGGGTTTCCTCCGGGCGCTCCGGTTTCCCCCATCAACCCAAAACATGCAAAATAATCAATTAAATACAATTAAATACAATCAAGTCAATCATTGTTTGTCCTTAATGCCTAGTATGAAAGTGGTGTGTGAGTGATGGTGGTGGTTGGAGGGACCGATGGCGCGCTTCTGTCAGTGTGCCCCAGGGCAGCTGTGGCTACAGTAGTAGCTTACCA